CCAAGGCCGGCAGGAGGGTGGGGACGGACCTGCTAAGGGCAGGAGCACGGCTCGGGCAGCAGCCATGCTTCCAGCTCTTCCATGGATTTTAGGGCATAGGAGTGCAGCAGAAAGTCACTACGGTAATGGGAACTGTCCAGCCCCTGAGCAGAGCTCACTAGCTTTAATTATTGACAAGAAGGTGTTGATACGTCACATCCCTTTAAACTGCACTTAATTTTGCGGTACCGGTTTCCCTCACCACGGCTGAGATCACCGTCAGCTCCGGCAGCAACACGTGGGACTGCGCGAGGCTGCGTGTTCCGCGGGAGCGGGAGCAGCTGCACAAGCTTTAAACGGCCACGTGGCAGCGTTGGGATTTATCATCCGTAGGAAGCACCGCGTGCCAGCACTAGGAAACCCTATTTGCTCCCCCGTGATGAACGTGCATTTTCTTGAACTGTCAGGAACATATTCTCAAGCTGGAAAGATGTATTAGACACTGTTAAAGTAGGAGAAAATCTGCTGCTCAGTAACTTCTGAAAAAAAGCAAAGGTGTACTACAGAAGAGAAACTCAGTTGCATACAATATTAAAAATGCACTAATTTATTACCCATATGAGTAGTATGAGTTACTGGAATGATTTTTATCTTGACTAAAAGAAAAGCACAGCAAAACTAGTGAAATATAGCAACAGAATATACAGAATTTCAAACTTGAAAGATTTTTTTCCCCCAATAAAGATTAACCATAAAGTTAAGCCAATGAAATAAGAATTGCATGACATTTGAACTGTCCCCTCAAATTAATACTTATAATAATTAGGTCAGTTTCTAAAAATATCAGAAACATACTAAAAGATTTTAATGGTTATTCCTGTGTTAGCCTGCAAATCAAGTGCTTAGTGACGGGGGTAAGTTTTGAGCATACCCAGCAAAGATCATAGAGTCCTCTTGAAAGTTCCAGTGTTTAAGACAACACTTATCAAGAGCAAAAGTCTTAAAGCAAAAATCTTGTCAATTTATAGCTGAGTTACTGCAGATTTCTCCTCCAAAAGAAGTTAGTCTCTATGTAGCTGCGAGCCGTATTTTAAAATGAAGCTGTTCAAGTTACAGCAGTGCAGAGTGACCTGAAGCTAACAGTAAAAAGTCACTTGAACTAATTAGAGCTATAAATGTTTCAAGCTGTATTTTTTTCCCCAGAAAGTGTGCATCTTCCACCAATTTTAGAAGAAAAAACACTATTTTCTATTTAAGTGGGCTGACAATCGAGTTTATAGCAATTGCAGCGACATAAGAATGCGATTTGTTCAGAATTCTGGGAACAGGAGAACGTCACTTGTTTAGAGGGACTGTAAATAACAGCATATTAGAAAATACCAAAAGGCCATACGGCTACCTCAGCTATTGAACAATTTACAAGTAAAGTAGATACAGGCCATATTTAAAGCAGAAGAATTAAAACAGTTCAAACATGTTTAAAGATTTTTAGAAGGTTAAAATACAAAGGGAAGTGCTTCAGCTACCAATACTAGAACCAGTAGAGCAAAAGCTGATGTCAGGTCAAGGACAAACTGCACCCCCTGAAGTAAAGACAAGCTTTTCAATCAAAGCACACTAGCTTGCCAAAAAGCTGGGGATCACACTTAATCTGCACTGAAGAAAAAAAAAAGTTTTCTTTTTTTTTTTAGACTCAGAAATGTTGCCCATGAAAATTTCATATTTCTAGCACACAGTATTTCATAGTGTCAGCAGTGTACCCAGAGGAAACATATAATCCCATAATAAAGGTGAGAAAGTCATGGTCTAAGATGCAGGACACTATGGGCCTCACACGAATCCTTTCCGTTCAGCCCACAATTTAAAGAATAAATTCAAAACTGATAATCTCTTAAATTCTGGATGCCCTACAAATCCTTTTCTTGGCCTTTAACATTCCATACCTTCTGCTACCTTTAAACCAACAAACAGCAGTACACAGATTTACAGGTGCAAAAACTAAGTGGAAACAACTTCAGAAAATCTTCTTACATAATAATCTTCAGCACAATCAGTTTCAGATTTCGCATAGTTTATTTACAAAATGCTCTGATAAAACATCCTCCTCCATACTTACAGCTCTCTGCCACAACACACATGTTGATTTTAGCAATGTTTAATAGCACCATTAGAATATTATTTAAAATCAGGAAGGATCTCGTTGCAGATACAATGATTCACAATCTTTTACATCCATGGACGAAGTAACTTTGAGCACACTAGGACTGTTTGCAGTTCCACAGTACAGATTCCTGGGTTCACACAAGGCATTTTCAGTATTACCAGTTATGCAAGGTACCCACAGAGTCAGTAGCTACTATAAGAATCTTCGCGCCACAAAGTTTAGACTTCCACCACATTTGTATAACGTTAGCTCCATATCATTTTCAAACAAGGCAACTGCGCGGAATGCTTTTCCAGTGCTTGTCTTCAAAAGAAAAGCAAAAAAGAGACCAGTTAAAGAGTTTTACTTTCCCTTGCTTACAGTCAGCTAGCAGTATAACTACAAACTCCATCTAAGGCAAACTGGTTCAGGCCTCTCATGCACCGCTGCAGAACCAGGCACTGCTGGGGACAGAACCAAGGCTTATTTCACCGCACGCAACCTGGGTCCAGCTGGGAGCCTGTTATGCACCTCCCAGGGAATGTAAGAAAGAAGTATTTTCTTAAGGAAAGCACAATGTATGCAGAAAGTAAACTGCTACAGGTATGTGGTTCCTTCATGAAGGAGGGCAGGCTGAAGCCTCTCACAGACCTGCATTCTTGTTTTCAAGAGCCTGAATGAGCAGAGATGGATTCTGCTCTAATGCAGTGTGTGTGTATGGGGGGCTAGGAGGGTATGCAGAAAGCAGCAAAGAATTTCAGGTTGCAGAAAAGGTTGTGTAGCAAGACGACACATTAATTAATTAAAATGGTTATATATTCTCTGGGAAGCTTCAAAACCCATGGTAAACTTCAGCCAAAACTGCGTTTCTTTTCAAAGGCTATTCACATTTTTTCTGCATTTAACTGTCAGCATGTTCATAGTTAAAGAAATACATTGCAAAGATACCTTAATATCCAAAGTCATTCCTGGTGACAGCTCTTGAGGGAACAATATGGAAAACTGCTCTCTGCCAGTGAGACCCAGAGTAGCTGGATTTTCTCCAGGAAGAAACTGAAGTGGAGCAATGCCAATTCCAATCAACTGACTTCTATGAACCTTCTCATAGCTTTCAGCTAGAACGGCTTTAACACCCTGCAGGAACAAGTCATTTTCATATGTCAGTACAGTAGGTTTAAAAAGAGAAATGCAAAAGCTTCAAACACTTGGTTTTATGCTCAAACTCCTCCAGGCCAAGCTCAAGATTAGAACAGGTACTTTGTGAAAGTCCTGTTAGAAAGCAGGAAACACCTTTCACAAAGCAGATGAACACAGGTGAGCCAGAACAGAACCCTGCACTACGAAATTAAAGTTTAGAAAGCAGAGGGACATGGATGCAATTAGCACACAGAAAATCCCACATGGAATCTTGTAGCTTCTATTCCTCTCAAACTGTACAAGAATAATCGGCTGACTCGGAATGTATTTTCAACAGTAGCGGAATCTGGATACAGTCTCCAACAGCTAGATGCTCAACACTACAGAGAAGCTAAAGAGATATCAACACTAAGTATCTAATTCATTTCAAAGACCTGAATTCCTGTTTGAGAGCCCGAGTTAGACATTTCTAAAATTCATTTTTATCCTTCCCACCACTCATTCACTTCATGAACATTCTAGCAAAGAAACTACAGGCACATTTTTTAAAAACATGCTATTCTACTGTAAGTACTCCAAGTAGAAGACAGTTGCTAGACACATTTCTGCCCCAAACTAAACATTTAAGTATTTCCATGGAGAGGAAAAAAACAAACAAACAAAAAAACCCACCACACGAAAAAAACACCCCTCCCAAAAAACAACAAAAGAAATAGCAGTACCAGTAAAAAAGGTCCTTTTGCAGCCCAGTCTCTTGAGCTACCAAGTCCATACTTCTTTCCTGCTAAAATAATTACAGGGATGCCTTCTTTCTGGTACAGCTCCGCTGCTTCAAACACATCTAGCTGTGGAATAATAAAGCAAAAGAGTTTGAGCAAATTCGAAATACAAACCACAGTTTTGGAGCAGCCATGTAAGTGAATACATTTTTACCGTTTGTCCTGATGGAAAGTGGATTGTTTTAGGGGCTGGCTTTCCTATGAATTTATTCAGAAGCTTGATATTTGCAAAGGTACCTCTTGTCATCACAGCATCGTTACCTCTTCGAGCTCCATAAGAATTGAATTCACGGGGTGTCAGTCTACAGCAAAACGTAGAGGGAACAAGCAGTTTTAAATATTGCGATTTTAAATTAATTTTGATTGTTAGATAATTGCAGTGTCTCTTAAAACTACTAAATCTTCAGCGCGTGATGTACGAAAGTAATTTTCCAACAAATGCAATTATATTAAACTGTGAACAAAATTTGTAAATCATTGGTAGCTAATTCATCAGCAAAACTGCAATTTCAAATTCATTTTCTGTGACTTCTTTATAAAGTATTACCATTGAAATGGCACTTGCAGGAGAGTTATGGGGTGATTGTTCTAGGTCAAAGAGCTATTTAGGAAGAGAAGCACATTTACTAATCTTGTCACTTCCACCAGGATATTTATTAATAAACACTGTCCCAGAGTGACAGCTTTACTCACACACCAAGATCCATCCTGGAAGCAGAGGCCCATTAGTTCTCGCTTCCCCAATATTGCTACTCATTTAGACCAGGCACAGTCCTTACAAGCAGCGCTTGCAGCACAGCTGATTTTTCTATCATGCTCCACTGACACTGCAGAGCTACACGGCCCTGGACAGCCCAGCCCAGCAAGGCAGTTTTCCAAGCTGCTCCGAGATAGAGCGCCCAGGAACCCGGCATCTCATCCTGTTTGTGTCCCCAGAATTTCAGCAGAGGTAAGAGGCACCACTGCCACCACAGGGAGGTGCTGCCAGAGCACCAAGGTCACGTCTACAGAACACAGCTCTGTTTCGAGTGATACAGATTTCTGGAACTTCTCATCCATTCTCTACATCTATCCGATTGTTCTCGAGGCCAGTAAGAGTTGCTAACTTCATATCACAGAAAATAACTTATCTGCCTTTAAATTAGTAAGCTATTTCTGCTTTGGCAAATATTTGGCAGCAGACATTACAGCAACATCAGAATGAGCTCTCTAAGAGGCCTCCGTTGTTTGATGCAACTTTAGACTCCAAGATACCTTATCACTTATACATCCCAGCAACATTACTATTCCATTTTAACCATGTATAATCACCCCTTGATGCAGACAGGCATTTATAAATAAAAGCAACAATTATGATCAAAGCAATCATCTGATCTAATTAGAAGCGTTTAGGGTGAGTGTTAAGCCCTTACCCTTTGTTGGTGAGATACTTAGCAGCAGCACTGCTCCTTGCAATGCTTCCAGCGGGGGATATGTGATCCGTGGTTACAGAATCTCCCAGATACAGCAAGACGTGGGCGTTTTCAATAGGCTGTGGTGGAACTGGTTCTTTGGCCTAAAAGAAAGGACACAAAACCCACATATTTCCTCCAGGATTCTTAGAGACCTAAAGCTGTATGATCTGTATCTGTAATATACTGTGCTATAGCTGTAATATAAAGACATATTGTTATACAAGCCCCACTCACTCCAGTGATATTCCAGTATTTTTTCAAGACTGAGAAATATTAATGCTAAGTTACTTTTAAACAGCCAGTCTCTACTGGAATAGCTTTTCCTCTGCTAAAGTGTAGTCCTTGTAAGGTGGTGGGTAGAGTCAAAGTACTCACAAGTTTATCAAAAAAGGAAGGACATCTGATATAAGTAGATTTTAAATCCCAGGGGAATAAAGTTGACTCAGGGGCTTCTAGTAAGTTCCACCGTTTGTTTCCTTTCTACAAAAAGAAAAGACCACAGAACAGAGAAATTGGTTTATGACTTCTTTTTACATTCTGAAAGCAGATTTACTGATGTTCTTCAGAATTTATATAGAAACATACAAAACACACTTCAAGAGTCCCATTTTAAGTGTCCATCTCATTTAAATCCTCCTTTACTTGTAAAAAAAAAAAAAAAGTCTATCCAATCACATGCAACTAGAAAATGCTATAAACATATGATGAAATTCAATCTTTATTTAAAACAAAAAACCTTTACCTCCATTCTTTCTTTCAATTCTTTAAACATAGATGATATTACACACTCTTCCTCCACTGTGTGAAGTTCTTTTCGAGTGGGCCAAATATCTCGTAAGTAGATACTTTTGCCATTAATGCCAACGCCTGAATAAAATTTTAAACATAATGGTAATTTTGAAGAAAAAATATATTAGACTTCATATATTCAAACTCTTCATAGAGGGTACTAGATATGCCAGCACTTCACTAGTTAAGTGGATGTTTTATTCCATCTGCAAGTCTTTCTCTTTAAATATACTGTTCTTTTATGCCCAAGAACACATAAGAAGCCTGTTCTGGGCCTGCCCTAGATGCAGAAGGCAGTCACCACTGCAAGCCCAAGAGCCTCAGCCCGCTTCTGAAACGCGAGAGGTAAAGAAACAGTTACCCAGAGGCTCAGTCTCCAGGTCTATTCGGACGGTGCCTGCGATGGCGTACGCGACTACCAGCGGCGGCGAGGCGAGGTAGTTGGCGCGGACACAGTCACAGAGACGCCCTTCAAAGTTCTTGGTTCCAGACAACACGCCACAGGCAACGATATCACCCTGAAAAGCAAAAACATACTTTTTCTTCTTCTCAAAAGACTAATATTTGTTGGCACCTCAGACTGTGCTACTTTTTGTTGACCGAAATCTTAATGTTCCACTTCAAATATTTACTCTCTTCAATTTAAAGGCATTCTGCTCTCTCCCACTACCTTTCCTCCACCCCCCACCATCTCCTATTCATTCCTGAATCACTGATGTTTTGACCTCTAGTTACTAGAGGGAGCTCTTCTGATTCCTAACATTTTGTTTCTACCTCACAGTAGAGAGTACTGTAGCTATTTATACACTGCTCACCAAAGCAGTCAAGCTCTTTAAAACCTGTTGCTCATCTATGATACAAAATCTGCACGTTTCATCCTTACATTTATCTTAGAATATTTGTATGCTACAAAGACTGTTTATTATATTTATTCTACATAGCAATGACTTACTATGACTTCCCTCTGGTATGTGGCAGATACGTAAAAACAACATGCAAAGTTCGAAGAATAAAGCCTCTTCTGCACAGATTAATCATGTAACTGGGTAAGAATCTGCCTAAATATTATATCTAAAGTATTCACCGGACTTGCAGCTATACCTGTTTTATTGCATTCCTGATGGCTTCTGGCAAGGGAGCAGTGTTTCCAACACAGGTTGAACAGCCATAACCAACAACCTCAAACCTACATTGAAAAAATCCAAATAAGTAGCACATTAAGCTAAAAAACAACTTGTTAGCAAAACTTTTTGAAGACTTTTTTCATTAGTAATTACTAAGATTTTTTTTTTTTGTAATTAGGTGTTTAGGACGTTAATTACAGGGCATCTCAATGATGCAAGTGGGAAGTTACAGGATATCTTGACCAGTTTCAAGAAATTATGGAACTGTAATAGTTTGAGATACTTTGTCTTAAGTAAAGCAAAGGCAGTAACATTCAGCGCAGCACAGCTGGGCACTGTTGCAGAATTATGAGCACAGTCTAACTATTGTTAGTAAGAATCCACAACTTGCTAAACACCCCATGAGGGCAGTAACTGCAAGAAACAAGTATGGATTGTCCTGCAGAATTTATATTCAGGCTCCACTTGAAATATATAGATGTATGCAGCATGTGGAAGATTTGTTATACATGAATAGGTCACCACAAAAACCAGAACTCAAAAGGCAGTGACCTACACCATGGAAGTCACAAGCTGAAAGCAAACCACAGTAAAAAGGCAAGATGGCCAACAGTCAAAATTGCAAATTGGTAAGTTGAAGAAACAAACCCTCATGAACAACCACCATGTTTACCAGCCTATATAAAATCCACATGGACTGTTATTTCTTCATTAAACTCCAGAGGAAGGAGGCAGAACTTACCCAAGTTTACTGAGGTATGGTAACACTCCACTTGAACTGAGGTAATGTGTAACCATTCCACTACCCGGCGACAAGCTGGTTCTTATGTAGGGTTTAACCACTAGGCCAGCTTCAACAGCTTTTTTGGCCAGAAGTCCTATAAAAATAAGACAGGTTATGTTTTTGATCTCCCTTAGGAGAGTATGTGCATGATGCTACCTTAGTAAATTTAAGCATCAAGTTTTACTTCTCCTCTATCTCCTTATTTTATTAATTATTAAAGCAACTATCTGATGAATAAAGTAACTTAACTCGCAACAAGTCAGCTCTATGCTCCCACTCTTCCCACATGAATGTCCATTTTCTTTTCCATAATAAAAGGTTTATTTTTCACTTTTTACATGACAAATCAAGGCAGAGGTATTTATTCTTATACTGACACAGACCGTAGCCTTAAAGGGAAGCTTTTCTGGGCCACAGGGGACCTCAAAAGAGGAGAGCAAGGTCTGAGAAAGGATCAAGTGTTCTGGGAAAATTGTATCCACCCAGTGGAGGGTTACACAAACGGTTAAGCAGAAAGCAGTGGGCTTCACAATCTGGGCTTGATTTCCACATTCTGCTGTTGATTGTCCAGGTCAAGTTGCCATCCAGAGGTCACTTAGGACCGAGTCAAAGCTAAAGTCCACCTCCCACAACAAGGATGTCACATGTGTGTTCATCTGAAAGGAGTTCCAGGCAGGTTACCTCCTGAAATGCTACCAAATATAAATAGTTTGGAACTATTGCCATTAATCCTGTCTTATGACACAAGCTCAGAGACGTATTATGTCCAAGTAACTTGCTAATATAATCTCCAGAACATCTAACGAAATTAGAGCTAAAAAACACATTCACAGTTAACTTTCAGCCTAAGTCAACACAGAGAACCTACAAGAGTGAGGGTAAAGGCTGTCAACATGGGGGCAATGCTAAGACTAAGCTGGTTCTCATTAGTCACAACATACCTGCAGCAAGCATGACGGATGGATTGCAATTATTTGTACAGCTGATTACTGCAGCAATGACAACACAGCCGTGAGAGAGCTGGTACTCATTTCCTTCATACTGAACAGGCACAACGTCATTCTGCTTCTCAGCTGCAATCTGAAACCCTTTAACGCCAGACTAGATGACAAAAACACACGTTAGCAGTTATTACGCTATAGAGTGTGACATCCCAGCAACACTCGCATCACACCATCTCCCTCTTCCTCCTTCATAACTACAGTGTGAACAACTGCCAGTCACAGCACCATCAGTCCCCACGATCGTTTCCTGCTCTACGTAAAATAACTCCTTATTTTATACAACAAAATGTCTGATTTTATACAATACTTGGTCTGAATTAGCAAAATCAAGGTGCTAATATTGTCGCCAGTTCCCCATCTTAAATGATGAAGATGCATCCCCATGCTGCTGTTACAGAAACACAGGCTTCTGAACGAACACATTTCCCCTGTAGAGCCAAGGCAAGCTGCAGGCAATTAACTTGCTAAGATTGAGAAAACAGTAGGGAAGAAATCAGAACACTGAACAGTTTCAACTCTCAAGTCTTTCTCCATCTCCCTTACCACAAGACATGTGGGTGTTTTTGTTTCTAATTCTAATTGTTTGGGCAATTAAGCAAAACTCATCTGGTTTAAAAACCTCTGAATAACTAACCTTTCCCCAAGCTTAACTATTTACTACTTAAATTTAATGTTTTCCTGTCTACACTGTTTTTGACCTATGCTATGAGATTAAGGATTTCTGAACTTCATGTTCATGACAAATATCTTTGACTTACCAGCTACTACTCTGGGGATATTTGCCAAGCAAGACAAGAGTACCCTTAGATGATCTGTTCATAAAGTAATAACGAGGGCTCAGCAGGTATGCACAGAGTAAGTTACAGTACAGTTATTCACACAAATCACAGGGAGTGCCTTTTGCAGAGTACATTAGAGCAACAAACCTTTTCATTTAAGCAGGCTTGGAAATCACTCTTCATGTTATTAACAGCCACTCTGTCTTGGGACCTCTTGGGGCCACTGACGTATGGAATTATAGAACTTAGACTAATTTGTACTACCTATGAAAAGAGACACATACATTATGAATCACAGCCTAACAATATATTTAATATGCTCTGAAACAGCTGTGCCCTATTTTGTGTAAAAACTCTTAATATGCTCTTTTGAGGCAGCTGTGCCCTATTTTGTGTAAAAACTGAATGTTCCAAGACATTAAAACAAGGTTTACATTTTTAAGAATGCTCATTATAGAGGATTATCAATCTTACTCAAATGTTTTAACATGCTCTACCTTTCCCACAAAACTTACCTGGTCTCTGCAAGGACTAGGAATTCAGTATCTGGTGACTGATAGGAACATTTCCTTCTACCCCCACACCATATTTTGCAGGCATGCTCTGCTTCTCACAACCATGAGTTATTAAAGGCAATATTAAGGCAATGAGAAGTACAGCGGGATACAAATTGTTAAAAGGATCAAATATATGCAGAAATAAGTGATTCCAAACATACCTGGGAATACTCGGGTTCTCCAGAAGAACTCTCCTCATTTCTAAATAACTTCACAGCTTTAAGATATGCTTCTATGACCTCAAGCCTGGCCTTGTCAAAACCTAAAACCAACATTTTCAAATATGAGAACAGTCATATGTAAAAAACCTCCCTATGCCCCACCCATCTGCACAAACTTAGAAACTAGAAGTTTCAAGCATATAAAATTATTCTTGAATATCCCGACTCCTTGTTTTTCCAGGCAAACCACTTCATGCCAAACATTCCAGGAGCTACTCAGAAGAGATACAACATTTCAGTATCTATGATTTTCTGAAAACAAATAAGCAAATAAAATTTAAGTTTCCTTCTTATATTAAGGAATAAAAAAAGCTGCTTCAACTCTAGCATAATTAAATTAGTGAACTTGAAGGACTAATCTTTCTAGTTTTTCCTCTATTAAGATTTATTCAGCTAGTACTGGTTATGTTTAGGTGACAATAGTCAGTATTACTCACTACTGTCAGAAAGTCAGTTTTGCTTCATCTGCACTCACCAGACAAAGCATGTTTGTTACCAAAAGCATCTAACTTGCAATTAAAATGACAGACTTTAGCTCCAGACAGGCTTACTAACACAAATGGACTTGTGGACTTTGTTTGTCACCTTGTGGTTTTCTGCATTGTTCTAGTCTGATGGGAATGGCTATCTTGCCACCTTAGCTTAACATGTCAGTGAATTAATCCTCTTTCAAATAAAAAACATTGGTGTAGGGGAGGATTAAAAATGTTGTGCTTTATTTTGCAGTTTCACATATTTCTCCAACACTTTAGAAGATTAGGTTTTATTTTTGTAGAGAGCTTGCTGGGGGTGAAGACAATAAAAAAGGACTACAGTAAAAGCTGTAGCAAAGGAGAACCCCGATATAGCTTGTAACACTAAAAGTGAACTTTATACATTAGTCCCAAGTCAGCATTCTGCAGAAAAGAATCATCATTCCAGACACATCATTGGTTTTACACAAAAGTGTACCGCACCAAAATCACTAATATAATGAAAGACTGTTTAAATTTTGCCCTTACCTGTGTGTTTTAAGTGCCTCAGCGTCACATTATCAACAGGGAAAAAGCTCAGAATAGCACCATATTCAGGACACATATTTGCTATTGTGGTTCGGTCTGCTACAGACAGCTGGGAAACTCCACTCCCAAAGAACTCGACAAATTTTCCAGCGACATCAGCTTGCCTAAGTTGCTGTTTAAAAGAAGAGGACAGTAACATCTGAAATGTGAAGAGGTGCAGTGCAAGCAGTGTTTACTGCAGCTTTAAGTTACAAATGTTTAAGACAAAAAGCTGGAACCATAAGGCACATTTTGCAAAAAACAAACTCCATCGAAGTTTGAGGTTCTGGAAGTTGACAGACACTGCTACCTGCAGCTTAGTCCTTCAGGTTGCCACTCAGGAACAGAAAGATGCTTGTTAAAACATGTCAGAAAGAACTAGAAAAATATATTTTCAAAGCAATCAAAGCCTTTAAATGCTTTGACACTAGCTCTCGACCTACTGAATCAGAGATAGTTTGTGCTGCTTGATGGCAAAACCTTGGCTTCAGAAAACATATACTAGTTGTGCAAGTGCATAGCCATAGCCAGGCCAAGGGTCTTACAGGGTAATTTTTAGGGACAAAAAGGGATCTAGAACAAGTTCTCGGCCTACAGAAAAAACCTACCTGGTGCCAGTTGGTGTGAGAAGGGGAAAAAAAAAAAAAACACAGGACAGGAAAGTTCTTTTTAGATAAGCAAAGGGACTATAAATACCCCATTGCAGCAGTAAAATCCCTCAGAAGACCTTTAGTTAGAAAGGATTTAGAGCTTAGTAACGCCCTTCTGTACAACCACAGTTAAAGGTGTATCACAGACACTCTCAGCACACGGTTCAGCCCTCAACCATCCCTGTTAAAACCTGTAACCCAACTCCAAACCCAGCGCTCCCCGCAAAGGCAGCGAGCTCCTACCTTCGTGATGCTCAGGACGATGTCTATGGACGTGGCGAGCGGGCTGGCCGTGCCCGTCAGCTCGCAGCCAACCACCTCGGGCAGCGTGAGGGTAACCGGCATCCCCAGCATCACGGCTTCCGTTTCGATCCCCCCGACACCTGGAGGAAAAATACTCATTGGTTGTCATCGGTTTAAGTACCCAAGACTAAACATTTTGAAGTCCACATTAAAACCTAACCAAATTTTTCTTATTAAACGCAGATGTTTCCCTTTAAAAATATAAATTCTGGAAAATAAAATTAAGCAAGACTACCATCAACATAGTTACTCTTCAAACTTAACCTGAAAGTGCTTTATCTAGCACTGACTTTACATGGAAAAAAAGATCAATGTGAATTTTACACAACACGTACAACCAGTACCCATCTAAATATGAATTGCCTTTTGACTGTTTTCTTTTTAAATCATAAAAAGTTTCTCAATGGTGAGAGGTGTTAGTTGAGGATACATGTACAGGAAACACTGAACACTCTGAAGGGTAACTCATGACAGAATGTTATACTTCAGATAGAAAGTATTTCTCAATACGTTAATATATCTTTCAAAGTGTTAACAAGCTGCAAACAATGTACTTACCCCAGCCCAAGATACCCAAGCCATTAACCATGGTCATATGTGAATCTGTGCCAACCACACTATCGGGATATAGGAAATCTTTAACTTCAAAAACAACTCTTGACAAATACTCCAAGTTAACTTGGTGCGCCATTCCAGTTTCAGGGGGAATTACAGAAATATTCTTGAAAACTTTTGAACTCCACTGCAATTTTTTTTTCCAAAAGGAGAAAAAAAAAGTTAGATTTTTTCAAAGATTTTTATTTTTCAAGAGCATAACTAGGATGACAGATCCAATATACAATACAGCACTACTTGTTATTTAAGGGGATTTTGCTCGTTCATGAAACAGAGCTACATGCTACACCTGGATTCTACGCATCCTCATTTATTAACAAAAACTTTTCCTCAATTACTGTTGAAGGCTGAATCAATAGTTCACACCTATCTTTCAAAAGCAGATCTGCATCCAGTTCCACAGACTTATATTGAAGGAACAATTAAAATCACTACAGATAACAGACTAATAAGCATACATAGCAAAATTCACTACACATTTTACATGTCCTGATGAGGTTGAGGATGCAATTTAGAAGTGGCTTGACTAATGCAAACTCAAATGTTAGATTTGAGAAAAGTTGACATGAAAAGGGGTAAAAAGATGTATTTTAGTAGTTTCCTCTTGAATAATGTAAAAACTAACTGATAGAAAACTTACAGAAAGATCTCCTAGTCTACCTGTACATAAATATTTGGTTCATTGCACTGGATTCCTGAACTGCTTCATCTGTGGATCAGGATCAGACACCAGTGAGGTAAGTCTTTGGCTAGCAAAGAAACTCATGTCTTCTACACAAGACTTGCATTAAGAATAACTCTACCTGCCCTGTTGCCTAGGTTGAGAGCGGCTGTGTCTTAACACCAGCTTCTGTTCAACACTAACTTCAGTAAGATTTGAAAAAGCATAAACAGACCTTTCATCCAGAGGCTCACCAAAAAGACCTCTTAAGTACTAACGCTTCCTAAGTATCTGCTTTATCCACTGGTCTTTACAATGACAGGAACTGTATCAAACAGTGTAACTTTTTTCAATTAGTGTTACAAGATATTATATTCTCTTCCCCTTAAGCAGCACTAGGTTTGACTTAGCTTGCCTAACAATACTATAATTTAAACCCAAATCCATGCTATTAGCCAATTTTCTGTTCATATAGAAATTCAGATTTCAAAGTTAGACATTTCCAGAAAAATTACATTTAGATATGAATACTGTCAGACAAATAGACTGTTAAAATTAAAGAACAAAGCCCACAGGTACATGGACATACCTTAAAAAACTGAAGCCTCTCTCTATTTCGGCCAAATTCCATCTCTTGATTTTTCAGTACTGTTTCAGGCCTAGTAAGAGACCAAGTTTATAAACACTGCCAAAGTTTGTTTCAGATTACAAAAGAACAAGTTAATTTTGCTTGTTTGATGAAAGACTCATTTAATCCTATCATGTGCTAAATGTGATGTTAGTTGTTGTTAAAACAGACACAATTCCTCTCTTGCAAGAAGCTTTCTCTAAACAGTGGAAAATAACTGATTTTCCCCAGGTTGTACTTGATGAACAGGTTTATTCCAGGCAGATTACCTACAGCAAAACATCTCAAATACACCCTCAACAGAAGAACTGCTCCAATCCTGTAGTACAGAGGTACCAAGACACACTACTAACACACTATTGCAGCTGGTTACTGATTTGATCAGCCTTTAAACTCGTCGCATCAGGAAGAGCAAGCCAGAATCCGACCAGAGAAGGGGCGGCTAGAAGGAAAGGATGCTTCCAAGGAATTGTCAAAGGTTGAGTAGTATAAAATGATTATTGGTAGTATGGAACATCTGAAGTGGGCTAACACAGGAGGTGCCTCTGTGCCATCACACACACAGCCAGGGTGTTCAGTGAATTTGAGCTCAAGGACAGAGGGACTGAGAAAATACTTAGAAGACTCTGGGGGACTATGCAAAGGCTGTTCCCTAGTTCACCTGAAAAAGCTGGGAATTTCTGCAAGGTTCCACATGAAGACTAACATTTACTTTTAGCTCTAAACCAATGCTTTACTGAAGCTTACTTCGTAATTTACAAAAGATTACTCCCATGCTTTGTTGTCCCTATAAGGAAGGGAGAAGTCTCCAAAGTCAATTTGAAACGACAACCATGGGTCACACAACTGAGCGTGCCCATTGTGTTTACTAAAATTCTTCTTTTCAAAAAATACATTTAGTATAGACTAATTCAAGTCTACTGCAGACACCTTTCTAAAACGTGCCTCTCATATATACAGTACAGGGGGATATTTAAAAGCGTCACATCTCTAAGTTGCTACAGGTAGAGCTGAACAAAAGAAAAGGGAGCAAATAACCCATAAAAATGAAATTTCCATACTCAGGCACTGGCTGAAGATGAAAAGGACACAGGATTGGCGTGTTCTCAATCTGGGCAGAAAACTGCCCCGAGCTGCGACTCGGCTCTGCGGCACCGCACGGCCCCTTGCAACCTGTTTGGCCCCTGCAAGGTACCTTCCGAGGCTGCACTTTCAGTGGAGAAAGCTTTGCTGCTGCCTTCTGGGAATCACCACCCCCAGGATTTGGGGCATTCTGTATTGCACTGTGAAGAGAACAGGGAAGAGAAAAATTAGTTATTCGACACCAGGCTTATTTCTGAATCCCTCTAATGGACTATTAAATACTAACTAAAAAACAAGACATTTTGTTACAATCCTGAAGCAAAGTAAATTCTCTCTGGATTAACTCATGTGTTATGGAAATCTAATATATTTAAATCAACTGCACTGAACTGCCTAAGAGTTTAAAATACCCAATATCTCCTTTAATTTGCACACAACAGACCAGAGTTCTTTATAAGCAATATTGCTAGGGCTGAACTCAGAGTTTTAACTTAGAAGCTGTGGAAAGGGCCTCATCCAAGGAGGGGCTGGCTGAACATGTTTCTCCGTAGGCATTAAGGCAGTATTGCACATGTTTTGTTCAAACCGTGGAGGAATGACTGCAAAGGAAACTACCTCAAGAAAGAAGCATAACTCTGACCTGTAATTAGCCTTTTGATAAAATGCTTAAAGGCTCAGATAAAATTTATATGCTATTCACACCACAAAGACATATGATAGAGAAAAAGGTTTTTTAAAGTGCATGCAACACACTACCCTCTATTGGTGCTATATTCGGTCTTCCCACAAGAAGAAATCATGCTTACTGTGAAAATGAGATTTCTAACCTCTTGATATTACCGAAATATTGTTTTGTCATTAAATGCACTACTTTTTACTACAGCAGGAGAAAGCAAATATGGTTATACGATTACAGGATATTGCAAAGGTTCAGAGGACACCTTGCCTAAATACAAACGCAGTCCATGAGCCTCTGAGCAGCAGGAGATGGAAGTGATCTAAGAGCAGCACAAACCATCCTGTAGTGAGGGTGTTTTTATCATATGCCAGCAGCTGCTGAGATGCTCTAAGCTTTCCAAATGCATAGCCACAGGAACTGGATTTATCATTTAAAAGCAGCAGTTGAGACCTCTTGCCAGCAGTTGGTCTTTCTGATAGTATTAGGCAGCCTAATTGCAATTGAACCAGCTGCCTTTCCAACCACAAGAATGGGCTGTTCACAGAACTGATGCAACACAGATCAACCCAATGAATTTTGATCTTCTTACTTTTCATTCTCCTAAGTTAACTAACAAAACTGAATTTATGTACTTGGAGGGTCTACAGAAATAGAAATCATATCCATATCTTTTTTTACCACAGGCTTTTTCTCTCAACTAAAACTCCTAGAGAATTTAAGCAATTCACGTAATTCTGCACCATTTTGGAAGCTTTCACAGTGTTAAAGTGAGGGGAAGGAGCTGTACTACTAAAACAGTTAGGCAAACACTGAATAAAAATGCAAATTCATCCTCTCCTGCAGGGTGCTGTGCGATTCTGGCACAAGATAACCCCAGGCTGGTTTCGCCACACCACTGCCTCTCCAAAAAGGAGAACTAGATGGTCACTTTTCCAATCCTTAGCACTTCCAGGTTCCCACAAGTGCACTTCCCTCTCCACATATCTTCAGCAGCAAAATCCAGGCCTACATCAAATCACAGCCATAACCCCAGAAAGAAATTTCAATCTTTCTGCAGCTCCGATAGGATTACAAACGACTTCTCCAGCATGCTGACAAGGCAGCTATATTTACAATTAAAATTTGTTTTACATTACCAGTAAAAGTAGGGCAAGGCAAAATTAAAAACCAGATACCTTTGCCTCATTCTCTTAAGACATACTCTTAACTGGATTTGGCATGGCTTCCAGAAATTTCAAAAGCCTTTGCAAAGAACCTATGTTGTCAGTCAGCTTGAGCCATAACCCATTCTTTGAGGGATATTTTTATCCAGAGGAGCTCTTTGAAGCACACATTTATTTACAGTGTGCACCTCCTTTACCAGACCGGTGTACTGACTGCACAGAGAGATTAAGAGGAGCCTTTGGCCATCAGGTCTAGTTTCAGACATCCATGCATGGCAAAGGATTTACTGTACTAAGGCTGGACTGAATTCAAATTTGAGACTCAAACCCCTTGTATCAGACAAACATACAACTCATCAAATACAAAGTACGTCACCATTTGCTGAAATCAATCTGCAGAGAATGGTCAACAGTGAGATCTGCTGGGCAGGCAGGATTGACTTTCACAGGGTCTCCTCCAGCATTTCGCACCGCTTCCCGCATAGCGGCAAAATCCACCATGGCAGGAATTCCACTAAGAGAAAAAATAGTACAGTACCATAAGTCATTACCTCACTAAAATAAGGCAAAATCAAAAAAAGCTTATTTTTAAATACAAGTCTAGATCTGAGTTCTATTTCAGATAAAGTCCTAATATTTTATTTGCTAAATCTTAAAGAGCTTGAAATATTTTTTTACAAGTTTGAAACAAGCAAGAGCATGCTCTAAGGTAACAAACTAAACAAAATACAGGAGCACCCCAAAGAACTGAATTACACGTCTCTCTTGTCTTGCTGTGCTCCTGATGTGTGACAGTACTTTATAGTAACACTCATTTCTACATACTTATTACCTTCATAACACAGAAGTGCTATGTGAACAAACGCTTCCACTATACATTTTGATATCTTGCAATACGTTATGACTTTTCTTACAGAATCAGTCATTTTTGTAGCACATTTTGCAGAGGTAAATACTCTCTTACAGTTAGAAGTACAAAACTGAGGTGAAAATAATGCTCACATATTTTAAATAGCATATAATTTTTTCCTGATTCTGCTTGCAGAGCAGGAGTTATTACTTCTAATACCTATCACTTCTAATTCCTATTCTAATTACTTCTAATTCCTGTTTTACTTCTCCAGTTTCTTGATAAACATACAATTAATGAGTCAGCAAAACATCCTACATTTAAATTTCCAAGCTGCTGAAGGTTTGCCCTATTAGCTATTTCATACTCAAATCACATAAAAAAGGTTCTTGGATTTTTTTTAAATGCATTATTCATGGTTTGAATGGCATTTCACATACTTGTGGAGTAAGCAATATTTAATCGTCAGTTATCTCAAGTGAGAACTCTGTATATTCCAACGAACCATCAGCCATTTGGCTACAGTCAAAATGTCACCCCTTCCATTTGTGCTTTGGCTCTTATCCTGTAAAAGATTCTTGTAGGATGACCTCTTGACCCTACCAACCCGCACTAAAACCAGGGTAACTCTGTGCAACAGCTCCTATTCTTGCAGCACGTGCACGTATCACAATACACTTATCAGAGAGCAGAAGCAGTGCACGAGTTCATTTAGAACACGAGATACTTCAGGATCAAAAGGCTAAGCCCTATTTAATCTCAAGCCAAAGTATCATTCATATTGCTCAGGGAGTTTACACAGATGATGTCAGAGGTTTTGGCAGATACACATACACACACACCACTTACGTAAAGTCTTGAAGAACAACTCTGGCAGGACAGAAGGGCACTTCAACATTATTCTGCTTTGTTTTCCAGTCCAAAATGTTCATAGCATCTGTTTCTTTCACTAAGAAGCCATCGCAGTTACGGACACTGGACTCAAACAACACTCGTATGGAATAAGGCAGAGTATCTAGGGCAAGGCAAAGCAACTGGCTTAATTAGTGCAACATCTTCAGCTTACATACTTAAAAAAAAAAAACAAGTTTCGTATTTCTCAAGAGTTCTACTCCAGCAACTTCCAGCAAACGCAAATCTATTTGTATGGGTACAATTTAGTCATAAATAGCACAAATGAAGTGCAGGGGCAAAGAGTAAACAAATGCAAACTAGGGAAGAGAAGCAGGAGAGCTACAGGAGGCTCCTTGGCTGCTTCTGGTCTTTACTGCAGAGGAGGGAAAGGCGAGCTGCACAATGCACACCTTGTGGAAGATGAATTTTACATGGGCTTTGGATGGAAGAAGCCAATGGCTTCACTGTGCCCTGTCAAGACAGTGACATTTAAGGTGGCACGCGGTGCTGGCAGGACCGAGAGGCCAGGAATCCCAAGCTGGGATTCCTGACCATACGGAATAGGTGAGAGGCAGTAACAATTAGTATCTGCCAGAAGTCTTCTTCACACTGCAAACTTTACTGTGCAATTACTTGACATTAAACCAGAGGCAGTTACTACCAGAATTTCTTCTACTTTCATACAAACAGCGGTATGAAGACTAGAAACAAAATCTGATTTGTACTCTAAACTTAAAACATATTTCATAAAAAATAAACAAGAGTAGCATTTAATTAAATGCAACTTTAGTTACTTTGTTACTGATCTGGGTTAAAGTTCAGACTAGAAACAGCTTTCACAGATGGAAAAGTTTAAGGAACTAGAAACACTGAAACAAAAGAGGGAAGAGAAAAAAGAGCAAGTCATTATTGACTGCAAATAAAAATGAAGATTAATGCACAACATCCCCAATTATCATAATAATTCAATATATATCGCTTTCACGTAATTTAAGTGGATTACAATAACAGATTATTACAATGACAAAAGTGTTAGCTGGATGAAGAACTTTAAACAACTAAGAAACTTTGTTTTGGGGAGGAAGGGAAAAAAAAGCAAAGAAAAATAAAGATTTGCTAGCCTTAACCTAGCCCATAAGTTTGTCAACAAGCTATTAATGGAGAATTTTCTGGATCTGTCCCCATCAGGCATTTTTGTCAGATATTACTTACTACTGTCTAATTAGGTAAGTCATTCAAATCATTCTGCTGTAATGCCACAATTCATTTTAGATAGCATCTAGATTGTCAGAAAAAAACCCCACTGATCTGCTTGTTCTTTGGTTAGAAGTAGCAAGCAGAGCACCCCTGCAATGATGTTCTAACAACAAATGCAGTGAGCAATTCCAGATGCTGGATTTCTTACCAATGTTGTCCTACACGGTGCCTCAATTTTATTTCAAATTAATATCTTGATAAAATGTGGACAATGAGGCTGGTCAATGAGGCTAGAAACTTCTGTATAAAAGTTCGTATTGGAAGAGACTTCTAGTCTACTCTATTTTCATATTCCTTCTTTAGGAATATCTTCACCAATTTCTGCTGCTGTAGAATATTGCACTTCAGTTAAACTGTTAAACTGCTTCAGTTTCTACAACATTTCTCCATTAACAAGACCTCCAAAAGCTGCAGGAGTACCAACTGTTTTTGTTCCTGCCAGTCTGCTGCTTCTTGCTAGACAAAGCTGCAAACAGAAGTGTTTACCTCCAACTAATGTTCATATCCAAAACGTCAACTTTGTTACTACAAGAAGTAGAAATTTGCTGCTGCTGCACAAAGTTTGCAGCAGCCACTGCTCCAGGAGAAAGGGTTCCCCTCTGTCTTCCCCTCAAACACTGGGAAAGTAATTGCTGCTGTCAAGTATCCTTTACAGTGATATACCCATGGGTAATTCTTTAGTTAATAAATGCATCGTGGATCCCGTAAACACAGGAGTCTAATACAGATGTGACAAAACAGGACAACTGCCTTAAGGAGGCATTTTAGGAGTTGAATATGAAAGCAAATGAAGAGAAAAATAAGAAGTATGCTTTGATTACCTACAAGGGGAAAGCCTATTCCAGGCGACGCTGATCTATAGCTAACCTCCACCCATATACCTTTCTCTCCCTCATTTCATATATATTAATTCTTTTAAAAGATATTCGGACATGGAGTCCCAATAAATATTTTGTCACCTGCCCCTTAGTGATATATTACATACAGACGATACACAGAGATTGGGCATTTGTCTGTATGCCGAAAAAAAAAAAACATTCTTTCGCAGCATTGCAATAGAAGTTATGCTCCAGCAGTCATCTACTATCTGAAGTTACAAAGAAGATGAAACTTGGATACCAAAAATCAGCAAAAAAGACAGTTAAAAATATATTTACTTTTAAAGTATCATTTGGCAGCTTTCTGGCAGTTCACTGTCTCCCAAGGAGACTACCCTGCACCTAGAACTCCAGTAACATCTCCCATAATCCCTCTCCAACTGAAAAAACCTACAATATTTTCACCCTGACCCTCCAACTGCAATTGATATTATCCAACTTCAGATAGCAATGATAAATTGGAAAATCACATGCTTTCAAAGACACCTACTAAAGATTCATGTACTCCTGACAGGGTTCCTGAATACTTTTAAGTAGCAATGGGTACATGTTTGCTAATAGTACTGTGCTAATTAGCAGCTGTTAAGTTTTGTTACCATATTTGGTGCCTCCGAGCTTCGAGACATTGTAGAACTTCTTTTGTGGATAGTTTCCTAATGCTTCAATCACGGGCTGGTAGGGGATTCCTAGGAGGGAAATAAATAAATCACTGATACAACAAAAAAAGGCAAAAAAACCCAAAACAACAACAACAACAAAAGCACAGAAGATTCAAGAACTGATAAAAGGACTTGTAAGACCAGATTCTAGTTTCTGCTTTTACCAAAAAGAGCTTTCTTAGAGGACTACAAGTAAATCAAGTATATACTGGTGTCTAAAAGGACTAAGTGTCCCTAATGACATAGACATGCTGCTTCCTGGGTTTTTAGCGGTACAACAACACACACATCTGTGTGTATAGCTGGAAACCCAAATGCAGGTTTGACCTTCCCTGTCCCACCTCACCATCTCCAGAAGGGGATGAACAGTGCCTCAATAGCACAGAGGGAAACACGGACAAAAACGAAGCACCAAACAAAGCATTAAGCACCGGGATGCTGACAAGCAGCGAGAACCTGTGCGAGCCCTGCAGCAGGCGTCAGGGACGGGGGAAACAGCCTTCTAAGGAGCGGGGCTCAGCAGAGCTCGCACCCCGCTAAGCGCCACCGCGTACGGGGGCTCGGGCGCCGCCAGCGCGACAGGCCCAGGGCGGGTTCGGGAGCCCGGAGCGGGGGCAGCCCCGGCGAGGCCCTTTGTTCGCTGCCCGCCTCGGCCTGGCGTGGGTCCCAGCACCAGGGGAGCGGGGCGAGTGGCGGCGCCGGCGGCGATAACGGGCCGGGC